TATGATGCTGCTTGGCCTGCTGTGTTCATCCAGCCCTGCACCTTGTTACCTTTTTTTCTTAAACAAGATTGCACAAAATCATGAACAGAGACCACAAAATCATAAATAAAAACCGAAAAACTGCAGATGCTGTAAATCAGAAACAAAAACAGAAGTTGCTGGAAAAGCTCAGCATATCTTTCTGCATAGATGAAGAAAAAAATTCGTGTTAACGTTTCACGTCCAGTGACCCTTCCTCAGAACATCCTTTTGCTTTTCACACTAATACCAACTCTTCTCAACTAAAATGGACAAACTGTCGCTGAACATTCCTGAATGGTTGTACTTAAATTCAATCCTCCTTCCCAACATGACCCATGAGTTCTGTTTCAGCTTCAGAACATGCAGTTTTCCATTTTTTTGTATTTATGACTTTCAGTGGAGGAAAAATGACATTAGGTATAAATTTAAAAATGCAAAATTTAAAAAAAAAATGAAGTTGTAATTGTGAGTGATTTCATATAGACATAAATGTTGCATTTCCGGGGAACATAAGAAATAGGAGCCAAGTAGACCATTTGGCCCCTTCAGTCTGATCCACCATTCAATGAGATCAAGGCTAATCTTCTACTTCAACATCCATTCATGTTTTTAATAGAAACCCATCAATCTCAGTACTGAACATACCCAATAATTGAGCCTTCATAGGCCTCTGAGACTGAGAATTCCAAGCATTTATCACCCTCTGAGTGAAGAAATTCCTCTTCACTTCAGTTCTAAATGGCCTAACTCTTTTTTGAAACCATGTTCCCTTGTTCTGGACAACCCCAACCAAGAGAAACATCTGTTCTGTAAGTCAAGTAGCGTAAGAATTTTGCACAATCTTCTAAAATACTGTGAATAAGGTCCAATCTATTTCACCTCTCCTTATAGGATAATCCCTACATTGCAAGAATTAGTTGGTGAATTTTCATTTCATAGAAAGAATTTTATAATAACAACCTAACAGTTTTGCATGTTATAAAAATGCTACACTTTCAAATAATACATTAACTCTAGCAAATTGAAAGGTAGAAATATGTACAAAAACCTGACTGCATAGTTCTTTTCCTCATTAAGCTAACCTGCGTGAAGGTGATGTTTGGCTGAGACTGCAGGAGGTTGGCTTGGCTTTGCTGAGGTAGTTGTTGTAGAAGATTCTGGGCTTGTACGAGACCTAACACGATAAGTAGAAAATCTGTTCAATAAAAACATCTGTTCCAGTTTAGTCTTTTTCTTGAATTTTCTAAGTCTTAAATCGAAATAAACATTTTAAGCCGACAAAATACTTCCTAAGAACAAGTGGTTAGCTTACATCAGACACAAGACATTATGGATATAGAAAATCTAAAATAAAATAACAAATACTAGAAACTCACAGCAGATTGGTGAACATCTGAAGAAGAGAAATAAATGAATATTCAGGATATAGCTCTATAATAAGATACTTTTTAAAACGTATATTTTTGTTATCTTATTTTCTGTCCGTTACAATGAAGGATACCACTCTTAATGCTTGCTATCTGTATCTCTACTTTTATCACTTTGTCAAGGATTCAAATAATAGATACAGTCAACTAGAATGAGAATTAAGTTGACTTTGATCTTCTTCAATGATAGAGTAACAGTTTTTATGACACCGTTGCATTCTGCCATTTCCTATCAGGGCCTTGATGAGCAAAAATGTCATTTTGACATTCAATTGTCTGAAAACGAGACTAACCCAATTCTTCTACACAGTATTTTTAAGGAATCCTTTGACAACCATCAACCTAAAAATTAATTTAAAACCAGATTGTAGCAAATGAGCGAATACATTTTCAACAATTGCAGCACCAATGTCACCTGAAGGCAAATATTTCAACAATAAAATTCATAAGCCATTTCTGCACAATCATGACTGAATGGTGCCAATGCCACTGAAACTGAAACAAGAATAAGACTATGTAACATAACACACTGAAAGCAAACTTGTCAAGAACTAAAAAAACATGTATCAGCATAAGTGTCAGCTTGGGAACTGACCAAGAAGCTTCCTTTACAAACAGTTATTACACCATTATTTTGTACTTAAAGTGACCTTAACAGGAATGATAGACAAAGGGTACTTTCTTGGGTTTAATGCATTAGTTACTTCCTTAAGATGAGCAGACTGATAACATTGGGTGTAATTGACTGACACTGCCCTACATCCACTTTTGTAATAGAATAATTGAGATGCCAATGATTAGTCCTTACAATTTGAACCAGATTCTCATATCATACCATTATGCTGTCAGTGTCTCTCAAATTTTCCAATAAGATGGACCAGCAAGTTTTGGCAACTTAAGACCTGATACGAATCATTGAGCTGATAAATTTACAACTAACTAAGCTGATAAACTTTAAAGTAAGATGAACACACAGAACAGCAGTTATGATCAAATTAGTTCAATCAGTGTAATTCATCTTTGCATAATACAAAAGAAAAAATGTCACAAGCCTTTCCATCTATGGGTCACTTACTTTATTTAAACAACTTTGAAGTACCTCTAGAATGGTTAACCTCCTACATTGTTGGCTTGCAGCTTTCCTACTAAACATAACCAACAGACCTATCTGTGTTTATCTCCATTTTCCCTGTCAATAGGGAATAACCGGTTTCTAACTTAATTTCAGAGATATTTTAAATTGCTAATAGGTTATTAAATTGATTATTTAAAATCTATGGGACATCATTAAAACCAACAAACTGCTCTCTTTTCCTTATTCATGCAAATACACAAAAAATAATTAAAGGCACCACTTGATTTTCCTCAAAGATTCTGTGGAAAATGTTTGGAAATAAAGTGTGACACATTCATCAATTTCAGTTGGTCAATATTCTGAATACCTTCCTCAAAATCACAACAGATTATTTTCTTAAATTATCAGGCTCCAGAAGATAGAGGAGAAAACAGAAGAACGATTAATTTTTGCTTGCAATTAAATTTTAGATTTTCATTTATGAAACAAAAGAGATAAAAATGATGCTCGCTATAAAAGCGAATGAAACTTTGTAGTTAACTGCACAAGGACTGAAACTTGATCTTGTCCCATATGGGATTCCTTTATCTCCCCCAGGAGATTGTAAACTCTTCACCTTTGTGATTTCCAATTCCTCCTAGAGTTAATATTCAAAACACTGCTGTTTTGCAAAAATTCTTGTTTTAAGTCTGACCAAAACAATCTCTCACCTTGTTGCCCCTGTGGCGTTTGCGAGATGATGAACTGCGTCGGTTGCAAGTTTGTGGTAATAGGGTGACCTGGCTGCACCAGAACAAACTGCTGCAGATTCAAGTTTTGTTGCTGTAACTGTTGTAACTGTTGCAGATCCTGCCAAATGATGGAATAATCAGTATGATGCAATCAGAAATTTAACAGATTAAGTAGTTTAACACATAATTACTTAGCTAACTGGTTTGTGGAATCTTATATATTTCTTACTCAAGATGAGACATGAAGGGAAACTTAGAAGTGTTGTTCCCATGTGCCTGCTACCCTTGCCTTCCTTGGTAGTAGTCATAGGTTTGGGAGCTGCAGTATTTCATTTGATAGATGGTCCACAATATGCCAGTGGTGGAGACTGTGAAGGTTTAGGGTAGTGAACGGGGCACCAAGCAAGTGAGTTGCTTCATCTTGGATGGTGGAAAGGTCTTGGGAGAATTTGGTGGTAGGTGGAGTCACTCACTGCAGAATATCCTACCTCCAAGTTGTGCTTGCAGTCACAAAAAATGTATGTAGTTAGTCCAGTGAAAGTTCTGGTTAACGGTTAGATTCTACCTTATTGAAATAGTCATTGACTGTCACTCGTGTAGCATGGAAGTTGTTTGCTACTTATCAGCCTGGATATTGTCTATGCCCCACTACATGTAGACAGACTACTTCATTGTGTGAAGTAGTAAACAGAACTGAGGATTGTAATTAACAGCAAATATTCCTACGCCTGATTTATGATGGAGAAAAGTTCATTAATAAAGGACCTCCACGGGGCCTCTGCTGATGTCCGAAGGCTGAGATAATCGGTTGCCAACAGCCATAATCATCTTCCTTTATGCTGGGCATGACTTTAACAAGCCATTTTAAAATGGCTTTACTTTTTCCTCCAGCTCTTTGATGTCAAGAGCATTAAAATTAACTAAAACAAGTATTTCAATATAATGGAAGAGATTGTTTAAGGCATATGAATCAAGAATTAAAATCTTGGTCTGGGCAGTCGCTTGTACAAAAGACCAAATAAGCATTTCCAGATTGTAGAATATTAAATTCATCTTTAATATTACAATATGGGGTGACACAGTGACTCAATGGTTAGCACTGCTGCCGCACAGCCTATGGACCTGGGTTCAATTCCAGCCTGTGGAGTTTGTACATCCTTCATGTCTGCGTGGGCTTCCTCTGGGTGCTTTGGTTTCCTCCCACATTCCAAAAATATGCAGGTTAGGTGGATTGGCCACGCTAATTTGCCCCATAGTATCCAGGGATGTGCAGGCTAGATAAATTAGCTATGGGAAATGCAGGGTTACAGGATAGTGCCTGGGTAGGATGCTCTTCAGAGGGTCAGTGTGGACTTGATAGGCTGAATAGCCTGCTTCCTCACTGTAGGGATTCTATGATTCTATACATGATTCAATTTCTAACTTGGGGGTTTGTAATACTAGACTGAGAGCAGGCTACTTTTGAAATGAAACATTCACATACTTACCAGCATATACAGTGATCCTAAATCCTTCCTAAAATACCAAGTCATGGAGAACTGACAATATGCAAGTTGTTCATTCTTATTTTTGGGAACTGCTTGGATATTAAAATATCTAATTTGATTGATGGAAAAACCAAGCTTTTTTTTATGCGCAACACCTTTAATTAACTCCAAACAACAGCTATCTTATTTTGAAGTTCGATACAATTCGGGGTAGCAGAAACTGTTCCAGACCTTTTCTCGCTAGTCTACAGGGAGGTTAACGAAGATCTTAAGTTTCATGTTAAATTTAAAATTGAATCATGCACATCTGATCTAACTGTAAAGTGAAATTCCACAGAATTGTTTTCGTTTGAGACATTTTTTTTGAGTAATACTACTTCACTTAAGTTAGCATCATAGAATCCCTACATTGCAGAAAGAGGCCATTCTGCCTATCCAGTCTGCACTGACCCTCCAAAGAACATCCCACCCAGACCCTGTCCCCCATCCTATCCCTGTATCCCCACATTTACCGTGGCTAACCCACATAGCCTACATATCACTGGACACTATGGAGCAATTTAGCCAGGCTAATCCACCTAACTTGCACATCTTTGGACAGAGGCAGGAAACCAGAGCACCCAGAGGAAACACATGCAGACACGGGGAAAACGTGCAAACTCTACGAAGACAGTTGCCCAAAGCTGGAGTCGAATCCTGGTCCCTGGTGTTAATGAGGCAGCAGTGATAACCACTGAGCCACCATGCCAACCTATCTGCTGACAAGACATTCTGTTTCCTTTGCTCTTAGGTCCATTGTTTTGAAGATACTTCAACAATAATTTTTACTCTGCAATTTCTGGCCCAGAGCTCTCTTTCAAGAATAAATGGGGGTATTTCATGCTGTCCATAAAAAAAGTCATTTTTTAAAAAACTGTCCTGCTTGTAGCTATTCCTATGAGCTGTGGTACGTCATGCTTATCTATCTTGAACCATCGTTATACGCCCACTATAGCTCATCTGCAGCTACTCTGTAACATCCATTTTCCAACTACACTTAGACTGACCCCTTTTTCTGCCGTCCTTCACTTTGTCCATGAGAAAGGATCTCTTCTAGATTATCATTATGTAATTAAAGTAAAAAGGGATTTGATAAGGTTGACACACACTGAAATTTTTCAATTATATTAAGAAAAAAAATAATGATTCGGGGTATTGCGGCCCTGTGAAAAAAGATAATGATGAACATTTGAAATAAGACATGGAGATTAATTACTGTGTGCCTGTATTTGCCCATAAGCAAGAGTTCAGTATTCTAGATATTCCAAGCAAAATGTTCAATCATAGACAGAAACTCACAAAAAATGATGTAAGCAAAAAACAAATTACAAATCCTCAGAAGATTTCCATTTAGACTTTTGAACGAAGTGGTAAGGACATCCTAGATTTCCCAAATATAATTTCCCAAAGTTTTGTCTACTTCTAAAGTGTTCCTTCACATACCATGCGGACTAGTGTGCTGTGAAGGTTGCAGCTTCAGAACAGCCGTTAAACACCCCTGCATTGTAGGTAAAAGAGGAAAGAGATACTATAATACTGAGTACTGCTAGCCAGCCATTGAAAAGAAGTAGGACAAAAGAGTTTGAGTCAACCTGTAAATAAGCCACAGACTTTGAAATCAACTGTTCAACTATCAAAGTCAGTATTACCAGTACAATCCGATGTTAATAGCCAGAAAATTCCACTATTTATGATATGCAGCATGGTGGCTCAGTGAGTAGCACTGTTACCTTACAGTACCAGGGACCCAGGTTCAATTCCAGCCTCGGGTGACTGTGTGGAGTTTGCACATTCTCTCCGTGTCTGCGTGGGTTTCCACTGGGTGCTTGGGGTTCCTCCCACGTACAAAGCTGTGAAGGTTCGGTGGATTGGCCATGCTAAATTGCCCATTGTGTCCAGGGATGTGTAGTTTAAGTGGATTAGCCATGGGAAATGCAGGGTTACAGGGATAAGGTAGGGGATGATCTTCGGAAAGTCAGTGTGGACTTGTTGGGCAGAATGGCCTATTTCCACACTGTAGGGATTCTATTCTTCTTCTTCTATTGGAAAATTGTTCACTTAGTTAATTAGACCATTTGAATTTAAAAATGGTAACGTGGTTACGGGTCCCGATCTGAAACGTCAACTTTCCTGCTCCTCTGATGTGTTCCTCCAGCAACGGCAGTTCTTGCTATCTTACAGCTAATTATGTGCTGGCTGGGACCTGAAATTCACCCATGTGTTGGATGCAGCTTGATTTTGAACACTTGGCCCTAAGTGTATTGATGCTTACTTGTATTTGGATTGGCTGAGTGATGGGTATTTGTGCCATAGGAGTTGCTGCTGTGGCAGAGATGGTGGCTCCTGTGGTATTATGCTGCTGATTTGCTGAGTGTTGAACTGCAGCAGCCAGTAGCTGGGCCTGTGCTTGCTGGAGCAACAACTGTTGCTGTGCTGTTGTCAATGTTAGCTGTAGAAACAAAAGTCAGATAAATGCAATGTATTTCTTCTAAAGCAGTTATTATCACGTTCATTTACTTTGTTAAGACGTAATACAAATCCACAAATTGCTTTTTAACTGCTCAATATTGTAGAAATGATCTTGTTTCAATTACTATATAATATGAAGGACTGAATGTAATTCACCAATTCGCCCTTAAAGCTTAAGCAAACAATAAACATAAAGAAAACCCAGATTTCCCAGAGAGGATTTTACAGTGTACAGTCAACGTTAGCCATCACTGTTGCTCTGAATTGGATGACCACCTCAGGATTTAGCGCAAGCACAGTTTAACCCTGATGTTGCAGTCTGTCTCCATTATTGGTTGCACTCTAGATTCAACCTAAAGCCAGTAATCAGTTAGGTTTGTTAATGTGGCAAAGATTTCTCTTTTTATGCTCTTACATCACTGTCACAAAGCAGTTGCACCTTGATTCACCAGGTGTAACCAGGTTTTTAAAATGCCAATCTGAATAACTACAACTGCCGTAAAGCTCTTTAAAAAGGTGATTTCAGAGTGGTTAAATATCTTCATTTTATAGAAATTTTATATTTTTTGATTTTGTCATAATATTTCAGTATCTTGGCCAGTGTGTTTGCCCGATTCCTTTTACTTTATTCTAGGCAACTTTTAAAAACAAAAGATTTGATTTTAGAGCTTTTCATTTCTTGGTTGGTTGGTTGTGAACATTTTTCAACGTGACTGGCTGATTAGACAATTTGATGCCATTGCTGCAACACAAGCTGGGAACCCTGATGCAACAATGCTACAATCAAAAACATCTAAGTTCTTGCCCCAGAGACTGTGCAATCTCTCTCAACAAGTTTTTCTTCAAGGTCAGTGGTGAGTATCCTTACTTTGTCACTGGCTAAAAAATATAAACCTTTGTTTTACTATTGATGACAAATCCCAACATATACATTTTCTTGAAAAGCAAATGTTGAATTCCAATAAAGCAGAAAAATATTAAAATATAAATTAACCAAAATATTCCTCAGACAAAACAAACTTTACTTAGTTTGATAATTCAGCTTTTTAGCAGCCTTTTGGTCCTCTGGGACTATGGTGACTTAATCTTTACTTTATTCTCTTGTTAATCCACATTTGTCCATATAGTACTGTTATCTCAATTTAAATTTGGATAATTAAAGAACACCATTAAAGTTACACTATAACGCTTGTGTCTCTCTGTAACTTCTTTGCAAATTGGTTCCTCTTCATCCTACCTACCAATTGATGGCCTATTTGGTATATTAAGCGATGTTATTCTATTTTTCATGTTCCTCAGTTCTAGCAAAATAGATTCTGTCCCTGACTCCGCTTTCTCCAGAACTTCCAATGCTCTCCTTAATCAATACTGCCACCCCTTCCCCTTTGCATCCTCTCCTATCTTGACTGACTACCCTATATCCAGGAATATTTAACGCTCGAGTCTTTTTTGTTCTTGAGCCAGGTTTCCGATATAGTCAAAACATCATATTTCCATAAAGCATACACTTTGTGTATATACAAACATGCTCAGTAACTTTGATTTGGATATTACTGTTTTTACTCTGATTTTGACTCAACCTATTGGCTTACTATTCTGTACAGTTGTGCTAAATATCTTTCCCAGCATTTTGTACACTTTGGTATTCCTCCCTGATATAATCTCATGGTTCTTGCACCACTGCCAAGGTAATTTAAATCTTCCAACAGTAGCTTGTTTCAATGTGGACTATCACCTCTGGACAGTAACACCTCATCCACCCAGTTCCCAGTACCCTGTAACTGCGCAGTGACATCCCTGACTCTGGCACCAGAGAGGCATCACGCCATCTTGGATTAATGCTTACGGCCACAGAAAAGTGTCTCTGTTCCCCTAACTACCAAATCGTGAATCAATGTTGCCCTTCCAAACTTCCCGGTACCCTACTGTGCAGGTGAACAACTGAATTTGGCTATTGCTGCACTCCCTACACAAACCATCACTCTCATCAGGTATTCAGGACTGAGTACTGACTGTTAATATTGTATTTGTTTAACATCTCTGCCATTTCATTATTCCCATTACTATTTCTCCTTTCTCCATCTAAAAAAGAGACTCTGGTTTACGTTTGTTACTGTTTCATTTTGCATGCTTGTAGAAATACTTGCAATCGGCTTTCATATTTCCGACTGGCTTAAGGTAATTCTACTTTCTCTTTCCTCATCAAAATTCTGGTCACCTTTTGCAGGTAGCTACAACACTCTCAATTCTCAGGCTTACCCACCATGTTGGAATACAATATTTTAAATATATTGATACACTTCTGGTACAGATGGGCCTCCTGATCCAGAGATAGGCACATTACCATTGCACCCTAAGAATTCTGGGAATATTATACACTGTTGTTTCAATCAAATACTATTCTTAATCTTGTTAATTAGCCAGGGATGGATCTCCTTCCCATGAAGTTTCAACTGAATGGAGATTTGTTGACAATTATGACATTTTTTAAGTGTTTGCTATTACTCATTCACAGTCATGTCTTTTACTTGAATTTCTGTCTGCCTTAGCCAATTCACTTCTCTGCCATTAAGTGCATTTTAAGTTCCATACTCCAAATTTGGACTTTTGTACAGCACTCTGGAAGTCAAGTGAAATTCTATTAGATTTCCTAGGGGATCATTTCCTGTGAGATTACCAATTCTATTTGGTGACATAAAACAATACAGAAAGTAAGTCTTCCTTGGTTGGTTCCGCAAAATATGCCCCTAGATGACAGTCTCAAATACATGCCAGGAACTCACCCTCCCATTTACCTTTATGAATTTGATCCATCTAGATTAAAATTTCCACAATTATTGTATTACCTTTAGTACAAACTTCTGTTATTTCCAGATTAGTACCCTGTGCAACACTATAACTACAGCTAGGACACCTAGAAACAGCTCCCAACAACTTTTATTGACCTCTGTTACTTCTCCACCAATAGCAATTTTAAATTCTCACAGCGCGGCAACCAGAACTGCGCACAGTTCTCCAGCTGTGGACAAACCAAAGTTCTGTACAGCTTTAGCATAACCCTCCTGCCCTTATAATCCAAGTCACGGTTGATAAAAGTGTGTCCCTTATACCTTAACAACCTCATTAAACTGTCTTGCTACCTTCAGGGATCTGTGAACAAACATCCCTCTGTTCCTCTGAGCCTCCCAGTATCCTGCCATCCATCAAGTACTCCCTTTGTCTCATTACTTCTTCCAAAGTGCATCATCTCACACTGTTCAAGGTTAAATTCTATCTGGCAGAGATGTGACCATCTGACAAACCCATCTGTACCTTCCCTTAACCTAAGATTTTCTTTGTTCCTATTAAGCAACTGGCTAATTTTTGCGTCACTTGTAAACTTAGTTGTCACCTTCCCCTCCTCCCAACTCTCAATTATATTGTTTATATACATCACAAACAGTACTCCACTGGACACCGGCTTCCAGACTTCTACGCAAACAAGCATTCTACAAGCACCTTCTGTCTCCTGCCAATAAGTCAATTTTGGATCCAACTTTCTGAGTTACCCTGGACTCCACATGTTTTTACCTTCTTCATCAATCTCCTACGTGGGACCTTGTCAAAGGCTTTGCTGAAATCTATATAAATTGCATCAACTGCACTAATCTCATCTATGCACATGATCACATCCTAAAAAACTTTTTTCCCACCATCCTCAACAAAGACAAGCTGAAATCCCGGAGTAGACCTTATCTCCCAAAGTGGAGATTAATTCTCTCCTTCAGAATTTCCTCTAATAGTTTCCCTACCGCCAATGTCAGACTCACTGGTCTGTAATTCCCTGGTTTATATCTACCACTCTTTTCAAAAAGTGAAGCTACCTCAGCTGTTCTCCAGGCCTCTGGTACCTTTCCTGTGGCCAGAGAAAAGTTAAAAATTTTGGTCAGAGCCCCTGTAATTTCCTACTTCACCTCCTACTACAGTCTGGGATACAATTCATCCACACCTAGGTTTTTTTTTCCACTTTTAAGCCTGCAAAAAGCCTCCTATACCTTCTCACTCCCTATGTTGAACTGCTCAAGAACATCACAATCCCTCTTCCTGAATTTTGTACCTACATCTCCTTCTCCTGAGTGAAGACATAAGAGAAGTACAGGGGCGTCTCGATTTACGAATGTGCACATGTATGAATTTGATCTCATATAGCGGTGTAGTTTTAAAAGATTCGACATATAAACATTTCCTGTACTTATGAACAATTCCATTATATTGTCCTGCATTGTGTTCTGAATTGCATACAAATCAACTTGCAAACAGATTCCACAACACCCTGCATTGACCTCCGGTTCCATACACAGTTTCCCCTTGATCTCTATTGGTCCCTACTCCTTCCCTGGTTATCCTCTTCCACTTAACATACTTACAGACTATCTTGGGTTTTTCCTTAATATTTTTCATGCCCTGCTTTGCTCTCCTAATTACTTTCTACACTTCACGAAGGTCTCCATTATCTTTACCCAAAGTATTACACTTCTCGGTGGCCTTGACCTTCCCCTTTGAATTTATAAATTTCGTCCTATTTGAACCCTTCTTCCCAATTTTTTTTTTACCAATTAGGAACAGCGGGCAGAAGTAGCCCCTCTAATGTTTTTTGCCATTCAATAAAAGTATGGCTGAGATGCTCCTTAACTACTTATACATGCCTTTACTCCATTATCTATGAATACCTACAAATAAAAATAAAGTCTTACATCTAAAATTAACAACTGATCTAGCTTCAACTGCCAAAATTTGAAAAGAGAGTTCTTTCACGTGTTTCTACACTCCTGGCAGGTCTGATTCCAGTTCGTAAACTAGCTCCCTAGTCCCAAGTCCCAGACTTTCCAATCAACTAAAATAATTTCTCTCCAATCATTCCCAAACTTATCCCTTAACAACTTGAAAACTTTAATCAAGTCACCTCTTAACCTTTAAATTCCATGTAATACAATAGTTTATGGCAACTCCCTCTATAATTTTATTTTTGCAGTACATATATCATTCTAATAAAATACAAAGCACCGTAGATGCTGGAAATCTGAAACAAACAGAGAGAATGCTGGAGAAACTCAGTTATCTGGCAGATCTGTGGACTGAGAAACAGAGTTAATATTTCAAATCTGGTATAACTCTTCCTCAGAACAGTTCAGAGAAAGTATATTAGCCAGCATTACTTTAGCTTTTTTGAGTATTTGATTATTAGTTCACAATGTTACTTAATCCTTGTCCAATACTCCCACTGCTGACATCATAGCTAATTAAGTTGCAGTTTCTGTCCACTTATCCGACTTACATCCAGTTCAGTTTCTGACTTTAAAAGAGTCTTCCCTATCCCCAGCATCACAAGCATAATTAAATTCATGAAGTAAATGTACAAAAACCTGAGCAGTTAAAAAACATGGCTAAGTAGAGAGATTGAGGCTACATGTTAGGCGGTGGACAAGGTATCTAACTAAGACATATGGGGAAGGAATATAATAGCATAAAGCAGTGGTAGGTGAAAGGGAAAAGGGAGAGATGTAAGGGACAGATCACAAAAGCTGCAGGGGGAAGGAGAAGAGCAATAAGTGATTTGATATTTTTATGGATTTTAAATTTGACTTTACTTGGTAAGGGCTTTCACATACCCCAGTGATCTGCCCGCCAGCAAGCATAAGCTGTGTCTGTGGAAGGGTGGTCTGTAAAGATGGTTGCAGCGAAGGCTGGGTTGTCGTTTGCTGGGACGTAGAATCCCCTGATTCTTCACTTTTTACCTTAAAAACACCAAACAGAACTGATTAGTCATTATATCACTAATTAGTAATGGAAACCAAAATTCTGTCTTAGCAAAATGACTGAACGTAAACATCCAGTATATTGGAATTGGAAATTGTGTACCGCTGTTTTCAAATGCAGCAATGGCAACTAATATTGCCAGGCACTGTGTACAGAGCATATACTTAAACCAGTTTCAAATGTTTCTCCTCAAAATCCCTCAGCATCAAGGATCTTCTAATGAAAATGCAAGAACCGGCAAACTCTTTAGTGTTTAAATGTTTTTAAGTTATTTGCCTTTTTATAGCACAAAAGCAATTTACAATTGTTTTTGAATTTATATTTCACCCAGTAAAATGAAATATGAATGACATGCACCTCTGGCATTGATTGCCAAGTTAGAACCAGACCGTGGGAATAAGTGCAACAGAAAACATATAAGGAGATGATCTAGAAAAAAAATGTTGAGGAACAATGGCAGACATTCAGAAAAAAATTCATGATTCAAAGACACAGCATATCAGTTATATTTGGATCTAATAATAAGTTATAAAAAGACAAGGTAAGACCATAGAAACTTGAACCAGGAGCAGTTTCTTATGCATCTTTACAGCTATACCGTCAGACCTAGACTGGCCCAAGACCTCCTGGCCTGCTGACTTAAAGGAGTGGCATGCAAACCCAACTACAATATCCCAGTGAGGGAAGAGGAATCTAGGAAGGGGAAAACTGATCATGGTTATCCAAGGGAATTATGGATATCTTAAACTGAATGAAAAACACATACAATGTGGCAAAGATTAGTGACAAACCAGAGGACTGGGAAACTTTAAAAAGCCAACAAAAGATGACCAAAAAAGGGATATATTAAAATAAACTATGAGGCCAAACTAGCAAATAATTTTGAACTGGATAGTAGGAATTTCTTCAACATATATAAAAAAACACAGACAGGCCAAAGTGAACACAAGACACCTTAGAGAATGAAGCTGGGTATAATAGTGGAGAAACAAAGAAGAGTCGGGGAGTTGAATTAAAGACTTTGCATCAGTCCTTCAGTGAAGAACATTAACAGCATACCAAAAATAGTTTATCATCGAGGATCTGGAGTGGTTTGGGGGAGGAAATAAACATAATAACTATTACAAGACAAAAAATCCTAGGGTAAATAAAGGCTGATAATTCCCCTGGACTTTATGGGTTGCATCATAGGACACCAAAGGATGTAGTTACAGTGATAGTAGATCCACTATTTGTGATCTCAGAAGAATCTTTACATTTTGAAAAAGTCACAAAGGACTGGAAAACTGTCAATGTAAAAACATTTTTCAAAAGGGAAACAGACAAAAAAAACAGGTAAATGAAGGCAAGTATGCTTAACATTTGTTATTAGAAAAATATTAGAGTCTGTTATACTTGACATCATAGAAGACCATTCAGAAACACATTATCCAATCAGGTAAAATCACCATGGCTTTACAAAGGGGAAATAACGCTGGATAAATGTATTATAATTCTTTGAGGAAGTAACAAGCAGCACAGATAAATGGGAACATTTTGCAATATATCTGAATTTCCAAAAAGCATCTGCTAAGTACTACACACAAGTCTACTTAATAAGGTAAGAGTCCCTGTGTTTGGGGAAGTATATTAGCATGGATAGAGGATTGGCTAGTTAATAGAGGACAAAGTTGGGATAAGGAGGGCATTTTCAGGATGGCAACCTGTAACTAGTGGAATGTCACAGAGATCAGAGCTGTGGCCACAATTATTTAAAACATATTAATTACTTAGTCAACAGAAATGAATTCTCAATCATCAAGCTTTCGGGTGACACAAAAATAGGTGGAAAAGCAGTGGTGAGGATGACATAAAGAGCTACAGAGGGATATAGACAGGTTATGCAAGTGGGCGTACAATTAGAAAGTGCGATGTGGTGTAATATAAGGTGATGCACTTTGCAGAAAGATCAGAAGACCTGAATATTATTTAAATGAGGAAAGGCTGCAGAAAGCAGAACTGAGGCATTTGGGAGTCCTTGTGTATGAATCACAAAATTCTATCACCCAAGTACAGTGGCTAAGAGGGAATTGAAAAGGACAGTTGGCCTTTATTTCAAAGGGAATGGAATTTTAAAAAGGGAGGTCTTCCTAACACTGTATGAGGCACTAATCAGTCCACAAATGAACTACTGTGAACAGTTTTGGGCCCCTTGCCTGAAGAAATGGATATTGGTGGCAGTCCAGCGAAGGTTCACTGGGCTGATCCTGGGTATGGAGGAACTAACTTATGAGAAGTCGAGTAGGTTGGGCTTATACTTATTGGAGTTTAGAAGAATGAGAGGAGACCTCATTGAATCTTAGAGGGCTTAATAGAATTAGCACGGAAAGGTCATTTCCCTTTGTGGGAGAGTCTGGGAACCTGTAGACGTAATCTCAGAGAAAGGATCACTGGTTAAAGAAAGAGATGAGGAGAATTTTTTTCCTCAGAGGGTAGTCAACCTCTGGAACTCTTTATTGCCATGGATACAAACCTAGCCCTATCCAATTTTTCCTCAGAGGACAACGTGCACATACCAGGTATTAGTCTGGCAAACGGTCCCTGAACTTCTTCCAATGCATTTACAAGATTCCTTAAATAAGATGACAAATACTGTACACAGGATTCCAGATATGGTTTTTCTCGTATCCTGTATAACTGATCCGTAACATCCTTCCTTCTGTATTCAATTCCTCTTTTAATAAATGATAACATTCGATGAGCTTTCTTAAGTACTTGTTGTACCAGCAGAATGGCATAATGGACAGAAGTATCACGGAGAAATTGTGGGATTAGAAATTCAGATTGAAGTTGACTATGACATTGATATTGGGGATAATGGTTAGCTATAGGAAATGGAATTGGTGCCAAAGGTATGAGATGAGTGGGAAGGGCTCAAATTGTTGACTTTTATTTTCTACATGTTTGATCAGAGAAACCGCAGCACAAAGACTGGATGCAGGGAAAGAAGGTGGTGTATAAGAAGAGAGAGAAGGGTTAGAACTTAGGTACTGCACAATTGTTTCTAAGATTAGAGGAGTTAAAGGAATATCTCTAAAAGAAGGCAATAGCAACAGAGAGTACAGGACCCAAGATGGTACCATTTATTATGGTCATTAGCATACCAACAGAAGATGGAAGCTAGTTAGTTTGCATTTTTCGTTCAAGCGTGGTCAAGAGAAAGAGCTGGATATCATCAAGACAATTAACTCGGTGATGGCATAGGAAAAGGTGGGGCAAAAAATGGAGGATATGCCAGTTCAGTGCGGAGGATGAGGATGGGTGAGGATAGTGGGAGCATGGGCAAAGTATAACTGGATGAAAAAATGAAGGAAGATAGCAAAGGCAGGTGACTAGATGGTCTCAGCCAGTGACAAAAAAAATCCACAAATTCCTCACAATTGCTGAGAGAAGTGAGTGCACAGGGAGAAAAGGGAAAGACATTTGTCCAACAGGTTTGTGATAATAAAAAAAGGTCAGGGTTATTATTGTTGTATGCAGTGATCCTGGAGTAGTGCACTGTTTGCGAAGATAGTGATGCCTGCTTTTAGGCATATGGTGCATCCAGAGCTAAAGATCAATGACAAAGCTATCTGTCCCCCATGTTTCATCCCTCAGACTTGAGGGGGTAAGGACTATATGACAAGCAGTCTTTCAATATCAGATGCATTCAATCAGAATTGAAATTTTAATGTTTCAAAACCTATTTTCTTCAGTCCTGACACACAAGTTTCTGCTGAAATTCCTGACAACTAACAATTCACATAAAAATTTGGGGGAGGATTTTTAGTATTTGCTATCTGGACAAGTTAAAAAGAATTGATTATTCTGTACTGTTGCACATTAAGTGGTACAGCTTTGCTAAAAACTCTGATTTACACAAGCTCAACAGCACCACCATTGAGTACATTTTGGTACTGACAATAGTTCCTAAACTTTTGAACATTATCCAAACTTACGTAATTTTATAGGTAGAAAATACATTTATCACAATCTAGCTCATGTGAAATCCAATCACTCCATAATCTAATACAAATATGTTCATTAATCTCAAGGATATACTTTCCACCCATTCTCACACATAGCCAATTACGCCATGAGCTGCAGCTGTTCGAGAAAGTAACTCGTCACCACCCTCCCCTGCACAATTAGGGATAGGCAATAAACGCTGGCCTAGCCAGAAACTTCACATCCCAAGAATATATCAAAAATACAACTGGGAGGTTCAGGTTTTACTCCTGCTATAATTTGTTTTGCCATACAAATCCAAAGTGATTTATAGAAGGCTGTTCAACAGATCATGTCTGTCTTGATGGATGAGGAATCATTCAGCCTAATTTCCCTTAGATTTTGGGTTCATAGCTTTGTAGGTGAGGACACTTCAAATGCATATCAAGTACTTTTAAACGTTATGAAAGTTTCTGTCCTTACTACCTTCAAAGGCAGTGACTTCCAGATCTCCATAATCCCGAGTGAAAATTTCCCCTCAGATCCCATGTATTCTTCCAAATTTTTACCCTGAATCTATACTGTTATGACAGATTCCTCAACCTAGGGAAAAGGGCCTTACTATCTTGCATACCATGGATCTTTTAATTATATTCACTTCTATTATATATTTCACAGCCTTCTCTGTCCAAAGAAATCAATCCAGGTACAGAAAATACCCTAGAAATCTCTGCTCTAGCTTCTTTATTGCAAACATGCTGAATCATCATAGACTCCTTACAGCGTGGAAGCAGGCCATTGGGCCCATCGAGTCAACGCTAACCCTCCGAAGAGCATCCCACCCATTCCCACCCCATTCCTGTAATCCTGCATTTCCCATGGCCAATCCACCTAGCCTGTACATCTCTGGAGTGTGGGTGCAAACCAGCGCACCTGGCAGAAACTCACGCAGACAGAGGTAGAATGTGCAAACTCCACACAGACTTTCCTATGATGCTGTAACAAGATCTAA